CGAAGCGCCAGACAGACGCGTACACGCACCCCCACAACATATACTTGGCACACCACCTCCCCTCGCCCGGGGGACGTATACAAGCAGGGTCTCCCCTCGCCCGGGGGACGTATACAAGCAGGGCAGCCCCGCGCCATCGGGGTGAAAACGGACTGGCATTTTTCTTCGAAACCCAGGGGTAGCCAAGGGAAACCTTGGTGAGCCGGACTCGCCGCCCTGGTCTCTGCCTCGTTTTTGCAGGGCTGCTAGACCGTTTCCATGAATGCGTTTTCATGCGCTCACAGGAGACGCGAATGAATGAATGAATCCTTGACTTGTGTGCACTCTACTAGACTATGTGCACTCTACTAGTCTAGTAGAGTGCACACAAGGGGGGTTTGGGTGATATGGTAGACTGGGTGAGTTGGAAGAGAAAATCATGGACAAGGTGAATGGTTGACCTGTCGACATTTTGAGGTTCAACAAATCGACAGGCCACGAGAGGGAGGTGGTGCGTGATGCGTGAGTGGGAAAAGTTGGAAAGAGGAAGAGACATCGGATAACAAACTCACGGCTTCAAGGCACTGCAAAGATCCACAAATCTCCCCGCAGCAGGCGGCATGCAAAGCCTCACACCGAAACAGAAAGGATTGCTAGCTTGGCCCCAATTACGAACGGACACTCTGGATGGCAAGAACGTGCCTCCCTACACCACCAGGACGAAACTGGTTTTCCAGCTCAAATGGAGCTGGAAAACCAGTTTCACTTGTTTCGTCCTGGTGGAGCTCAAGTTTGTCAGGGAGTCGTTTGTTTGTAGTGTTTGCATCACGTCCATGCGCAAATCTGGAGGCAAATCTGGGGCGTCTGTGCAGCTTTTCTTTTTTATTTTTTCATCGCAGTTACGAACCGTTAAGGGATGCATACGTCTTATGAAACGAGGGCACCTTCTTCATTCGAACGTCACGGTGTTGGCTTTGGTCACACTGACAAGTTTTGTGCAGCAACGTGGGCTTTGCATCGCCGACAGCGACACCGGCGCACCAGGAGATGCCATAAGCTGCGACCTAAGAAGCGGAACCTGTGATCCGCTCATCGGCCGTCGGCACAATGCTTCTGTCTCGTTCCAGGTGTCCCATGATACCGGCGTGTGCCGCTGTCCTGGAGCAGGAGGTAAGCGGCCGTCCCCTTCAATTTCTACTCTCCTTTCCGACCTGACTGTTCGTGCCTGGCTGTAGGGTCGTGTTACGGCGACTGTGGACGCAAGTTCGACGCTGCAGAGGTAGCCACCGTGGAGACTTTCAAGTATGGACGGTTCGAGACCCGCCTGTTTCCTGACCTCCGCGCTAATGGAACCCTCGTTGCCTTCTTCCTCTACAAGAATGACAGTGACAAAGTGCCGGGCACATCGTGGACGGAGATTGACTTTGAAGTGCACGGCATGGGGAAACACAGCGCGGAACCGATTCAGACCAACATTGTAACAGGCAACATGGGACGGCGCACCCTGTCCGAGATGTTTCTTGCCGCTCCGCGCCACCGAAAGAACATGAATGCACAAATGAAAGCCATAAAAGATAGTTTTCATCACTTTGCTATCGAGTGGACGCCAAGCTACGTTTCATGGTATTTTGATGGACACCGCCTACGCCACGAAGTGTCCTGCGATGCTCGCGGAGCAGACGCGGAAGAGTGCAGCCCTCAAGTCGCCCGGCTCAACAAGGCGATGAATCTCAGGATGTCCGTGTGGCCACTCGATCCGTCAATGCCATGGGCCGAGCACTGGGCTGGAATCTTCGATCGGAAAAACGCTAAGCTACCACTCACCGTGTATTACGACTATGTGAGGGTGTACGACTACGAACCATTTTCCAAAGGTCTGAAGAGGAAAGAAAGGACAGGAAGCGCAGTTTATGGCTGTCTCGCTCAGGTTTCACTCTCAGATGGACTGACGACTTTAGTGGCTTGAACACGTCCCGATGGACGGCCAGCACTCACACATTTCTCGGCAATGAGGCTCATTTCCGGCCCGAGAGGGCCGTGATAGCTGGATCAAATGCCACGGATGCAAATGGCTATCTTACCCTGTCCATCTCCCGCGCCGAAGATGACATCGCCATCTCAGCTCCTCAAGACTCCGAATCTTATAGCAAAAAGTTTTTGCCCGGTAGACCTCTTCCAGAACTAACCGATGTTGCCTGCGACGGAGGCACAAGTTTTGTATGGAAAGAAGGAGTGCGCTATGAAGGCGGTTACGTGGCTTTTACAGAGGAGGCACAGGCCAATCACGACCGGACGAAATGTGCCCAGCTGTGCGCCGAGAGTACAGGATGCCGTGCATTTTCTCTGCACCGAGTTAAGCGGAAGGTGTATTGTAGTGGCTTTTTATTCCCGGAAAGACAAGTCCGAGGGGAAAAAGGGGGCAGTGGAGTGATGTGTAGGGATCGGACAAAGCAAGGCGTCGTGCAGCAGCCATGCGCTTACAACGGAGGCAAGTGTGTTGTGTAGCGATGCACTTTGAGGGCGGTTGCGTGCCTTGTGAAGGAAACACGGGCCGAGCACGTGAGGAGGGTAAAGGAAAGACAAGTCCGAGGTGCTAAGTCGGGCAGTAGAAAGGAGCAGGGCGTCGTTTAGCTGGCGCTTTGCCGTGCTGATGGCGCCAGAAAGTGGCTGTCTTCATTTTCTCGTCTGTCTGGCGGTGGTGGGAGACAGCGGCATGTGATCATGAAAAGACGCCATCTCAGTTGTGAACAACCCATGTCGGGCGTGAACGATCGCGACGGTCACGATCGCTCATGCGGCCCCTCCCTGGCCGCGGCCCCCCTTCCCCCCCCCCCCCCCC